CAGAAGATTCTTAAGAGTGTGATCCAACAACAGCAAAGTTGATCATCAAACAGTGGTATAAGGTTGTCCTGGTGCCAAAGCAAATATGGACACCCTCATGCCTGAACATGTAGTTCGTTATGGACAGTCCATGACGGGCACAGAGGTCAAACAATGAAACAATACTTGAGTTACGCCTGGGCGGGGCAATTCCCCCCAACTATACCCTCCCAAGTATCACTGTCATTGGTCACGTGAGCATTGAAGTCCCTAAGTAGAACAAGGGAGCTTTCAAGCACCACTTCTAAGGATTCCCAAAAAGGATGGGTAATCTGAACCGTTGTTAGGTTCATAATCACAAACAAAAGAAAAACACCGCACAGCAGAGAGGTGTGGGGTGTTTTTCTTTTGTTCAGGTAAATCTTTCACACAAAGCACACGTCCAACCAGTCATCACCTATCAGGAAAGCAAAGAACACTCTATCAGCTCTTAGGTTTCATGAATGAGGCCCAAACAGACAATCAGATCTTAAATGAGGTGAAAACCGAAGAAAATAGGGTCACTGTTGTTTTTCTATTTAGGGGGGCCACTGCCAGCAGCAGGCCCCCCTAGTACTCTCCTGCATATTTATTCCATCACTTATCGTTCTTCTGTTTCAGTTCAATTTTGGGTGCGTAACTTGTCGCGCATGGTTCCGCGGATCGGGCCCAAACCAGCACGCGCGTCCGACCTGACCACGGGACTTGTGCTATTACAAAACTTTCTCAAAGGTCAGGGCTTTTAAACAACGAAAAAGTGGCGAAATTTGGGCCATAGGAATGAATGGGGGAGCCGACAAACGGGCCCAAAAAATAGCCGAGCGATGCCATATTGGAGCCACGAGGCCAGATCTCGCACTCTTTGCCTGCAATCGCTGTTGACTTTTTAGTGAAATTCCAAAAATCTGAAATCCTGGTTCTCACTCTAAGTTTGCTCGTTAAAGCCTCTGAGAGCCCTGTGGGGACGTTCACCGAAAAAAAGTCAATTTCTGGCCTCTCTCACTCTTTGGCTGAGTGGCGCCAAAATGGCTCAA